ATTTGCAATTTCCAATGTTTTAGCATTCAATGCTGATCGAAGTCGAATTGTGATTGAATGCGGGTGATTGTGTCATCATTTCAAAAGAGTCTCGACTGCAATGCAGCCCCAGAGTTTTCAAACTAAACTGAAACAAGGTCAAAAGCATTTCCAAACTTTTCTGTTTTAGATGCCCAAAAAATGTGTATTAGTTTGGACTACACATGTAAACATAGCAGAATGATGTTTTAAAACTTAAACATTGTGGATGTAGCCTTGTGTTAATGTGTCCTGTTAATTGAGGGTGTGTGTGACTACTGATTCTTCTGTTGTAATCTTTAATCAACTAACTACCTTTTTTTGAAAGCATTACTGCATAGTGTTTCTGTGTTTATATATGTGTTTTTGGTGACAATTTATAGTAGGGAACACATATTAGCCATTAACTAGTTGCTTATGAGTATGCATATTAGCTCTTTGTTAGTCATCAAAAACACTAATTAATGCCTTATTCTGCTTGACCTTATTCTGCATTATCGAATATAAAGTGTTACCGTTTTTTTCATTAGTTTGAGAAATGAAGTGACCTTTTCAATGAAGTGCTGAAATAGGTTTTGCTTGTTGCGTGCCTTTATATAACATTTCATTGTTATATCGTTGCCATTACTGTAATTTGCATTTGTATTCCAATAAAAGCTAAATAACCATTAAGCATAAAACATCCTGCAGTAAGGAATGTTTTAAAGTGTGTTTACTCCAAACCCACCATCCTTGATGGTTGATATTACTGTATCAAACAGTATTACGTGGATTAAGTGTTGCTAACTCAAGTAAAGCCACAGTAAAGAAGCAGGGCAGAGTTTTTGTCTCAGCATGAGGAAGGAAATGGCAGACCAGGTGCCAGTCTCGTAGAAACAAAAAGTCTCTGTTGGAGCTCTGCATTTCAGTTCTGTGAATAGCCACTGTTCTGACACCAAAGAATAGAAGAGCATTTAGAAGCTGTTTTATGTTTTGTTTCTTAAACAATGAGCTGTAGAAGAGTGGGGTTTTTAATCACCACCTCCTGTCACATCCTTCACTACGCACCAATTCACATTTTCTTCACGTCTGCCTCAGTACAAAACTCACATTGCAATTCTTCCTGTCTCCTGGTGCAGTTGGATGACTCGGATTGCTCAGGTTACCGACTTTGTTGAACTTGACTTTTTATACCACAGATTGTAAATAAAGAGGGACAAATGCGTCTCCACGTCCTCCCACCATAAGAAATAATATTCTATATACAAGCTCTGCCATCTTGCACAGTCACGATAGTGAGGTCCCACTGACCAATCGGTGTCAGCTGTCATCATGTCTCCCCCATTTTATAGCATCAAATAACTTACTAAAACCAAACTTATCAGAAACATTAACACTTGAAAAAACATCAGTGTGAAAGGAACTACCTAAAATGACTGAAATCATCTTTAAGACAGATTTAGTTTGGTCAATGTCCCATCTACCAACACGGAGGAGACATGTGGTGTTTCTTTACAATTATTAATGACTGAATAAATCAAAATCAAATTTATTTATGATTGCACATAAACCCAACTGAAAGTCTTTAGATAGATTCAGTTCCTGTGCCTCCCACACTGCTGCCAGGCACATAACTGACATTTACTCTGATGGAACATAGCAGTTGAAAAATACCACGGTGGGTTGGGGGTATTTTTAGTTCCAAATCTCATGCATCTATGACAGTTTGCACAAGGACTGATACAGCTGCTTTGTGCTGTGCATTATCTATTAACAGTTTTCTGCCACATTTATCTGATGAAGGTGTTGTAGTGCAAGTGGTCAGATATAAAAGGAGGAAAAAACATTCAATGCAGCTTTCAGGAATATGTATAGTTTTTCATTACATGTAGTACATGTCTTGAGGAAGCGGTTTAACATTTGACACTTAACATAAGAAAGACAGCTTTTCTTTTATGATGTTAGCGGTGGTGAGCTGTGCGCATGTTATGATGAGGCTGACAGCTGCGTTGATGACCAACATTCATTTCTAAGCAATTCTCGTAAATGTCCCCTGTTAGTTCCTGTAAACGAAAAAAAAAACAATGACAACGTCGATTACAACTCATCACATACGAAGTGAGAGAATAAACGAAATCTTCAGATATGTAAGGATGAGGGGATGATCATTTTTTTTATTTACCGTTACTGGAGCCGGCTGATTGTTATCTCTGTAAATGAGAGCCACATTTTGTTTATGCTCTAGCAGTGTATAAGGCCATCAGCAGTACATCTTTATGTGTCAAGACAGGCTTCAAGCAAAGACACTTACTGTGAACGGCTCTTGTCGACTCTTTGCAGGATGGTTAAAGTTATTATAAAGATCAGGCAACACACAAATAGAACAGTTGAAGCCACAATAAATACATGCCACTCTCCAGCTTCTCTTTTCTCTGGAAGAAAAACAAATAGATTTAACACCGATGTAACATGCAAACTAAACTCGGCTGTTTAGTCGAGTTGGATCACAGTCGTGTAAAGACAGTTTGGTTTTATGTCCATGTAAGGTGACTTTTTCATAAAGGAAGCCACGGTGGGTGCTGTGGAGGCATGTGGTCTCATACGCAAACAGACACGAGTATTTTATGTGTAGTTATACTATAGAGTCCAAACTGAAAACTCTGTTGTATCAGTCAGTGCAGTGACACCTTGTTTCTGTCTAGAGGATTGTCTATGTGGATGTGTGGCTGTGTGCTTTAATTCAGGGCTGAGCATCACACCTGTAATTATCAGCTCCCAATTCTGTTCCCACAGTCCCTCGAGCGCAGCAAGGTTACAGCTGTAGTTCCCTGCATGAGACCTCTGGACGCCGTCTATGACCAGTGCGTACGGTTCTGTCCCCGACAGAGACATATTTATCTTCAGGCTCTCTGCTTCTTCACTTCTGTACAGGGCCGCGACCTGTGGCTTGTAGCTGATCAGGGCTGCTCCGTTGAATCGCCACGTGAGCTGTTGGACCGTGATTGTAGACACGTTGCAGGCTAGCGTCACTCTGCTGCCCACCATCTTTGTGATGACTTTGCCCTCTGACATTCAAATGGATAGATTTAATTTTCAGGAACCATTCTGTCACAGTATAGAGTTAAAGGAATAGTTTGACATTTCGGGAAACGTATCTATTTGATTTCTAACTCAGAGAGGATCGTTACTGCTGTTACATGCTCTGTAAATATGAAGCCACTGCTCAAAGTGAGGTAGCTCAGCTCGGCATGAGACTGGACCTGTCCAGAGGCTACAAAATCCAACCACAAGCACCAGTTTTTAGTAGTTTATTACAAAATACTGTTCTATATTGTCCCATATATCACCTATTTTTTT